AGTATTCAATATGCCAAACACAGTAACAACAAAGTCTCCAATGGAGACGTTACTGGGCCCGCTCGAGCAAATCGGCGATCAACGGGAGGGCCTTTACCTTTACCTTTTACCTTTACCATACATACGTGCCAATGATTTTGCACAAATTCTAAATGGCCCTTTAACTTGATACTTAGTGAAAATTACAACAGGATAAGTTAAAAGAAGCAAGTCCTATCTTCTCCAGTAACTTCAGAATGAATATTAAAGATTGAATCACTGAATGTCAACAATCTTTAGTTCTACTTCACATAATGATAATAATCAAGATTGTGCCTACAGGATTGTTTCTGTCCCCTTCTGAATTGTTTTCTGAGTATACTGGCTTGAGTCCTGTGTGCTATCCTCTGGAGTGTATTGCTTCAGGAATTTTAATCTTCTTTTTGCCCCAGGCTCAGACTTTCAGTACAGAATCATAATTATTTTTTATTAAAGGCCTTGGTTCCCTACAGCTCTATCTCCTACATCCCGCAAGAAGATGTAGGAGATAGAGCTGTAGGATGGTACAGCTCCTTTGTTTAACATCATATGCCTGTGGCTTGAGTAACCATAAATTAGAATTAAATTAAATTTTGTTCTAGTCATTTAATAATGTTAATCAAGAAACATGTCCAAGAAAGAAGAATTTCTAGATTAAGAAAAATTAGACACTTCTTATTTTTTGTATCATGTTTGGAAATAAGTGTACATAACTCTTCCTTATTATTTTTAATTATTATTTTTACCTGGCATCAATTTTCAGCTAATTTTCAATATAATTTAAGTGTGCTCCTTTTCTTTATTTTTTAATATGTCTGATGCATATTTAGTCATATGGACCTCAGATTATTTGTTAGAAAATTGTTCAGAATGATGAATTTGTAGGGAAATAATATTTTGGAAGGATCTGTCAAAATGAGTTTAGAATTTTAAATACAGTTTTATAGTTGTAATTGAAAAAATGTCGTGGCATCCATCCGGTATAATTCATAAGAGGTGCAATGCTATATTTTTCTAAACATGATTTTAACATGACAATTACTTGAAAAGTGTAGTTCTGAGAGAAGCTAGATAGCAAACGTTAGAATAGATAGCACATGGATATGTCTTCATGGGTAGTCTGAGTTACAAGATGGACAGGGCTCAGAGATTTGTGTCATCTACCTGTGTGTCTGCGGCCCTGGAACCCTCAGAGTGTGGCCTCTGCAGTAACAGATAAAAGAGATACCTGTCACGCCATCAAAACAGTATGGCAGTGCTACTGTTTCCTAGACAGTTCTGGTAGGTACTGAAGTCATGGAATTGGACAGAATAGACTCGGTTCTCTTCACAGGATAAAGAGTCAGACCAGGAAGTGCAGAGAGGATTATATAGAAGAACACATTTTTATAAAGCAGCAGGAGGTGCAAAAACCTTACATATGAACGTACTTTTGGAAGTAAGTTGACAGAATTCCACAGAACATCTAGATTATATCACATGGTGCTTTAAATTAAAGGACCTATTTTTTTTAAAAAAAAAAAAAAGGATTCGGGGCTGGAGAGATAGCACAGCGGGTAAGGCGTTTGCCTTGCACGCGGCAGACCCGGGTTCAATTCCCAGCATCCCATATGGTCCCCTGAGGACCTCCAGGAGTAACTCCTGAGTGCAAAGCCAGGAGTAACCCCTGTGCGTTGCCAGGTGTGACCCAAAAGGCAAAAAAAAAAAAAAAAAAAGGATTCTATTACTTAAGATATTATGTAGTTTTAAAACGAGAGGGCATGTTCTCAGATAATTAAATGAATATTTAATGAGCATAATCTATGTAAATGATCTAAGTAATAACTTGAACTAAATATTGATTTCAAATCTATTTTAATAGATATTTTTAGTACCTACTGGAGTTGATAAGTAGGTAATTTTGTTATTTACAAATATTTTTTTGAAAATTTAACTTGATTTGGAACGATTTTAATCTTCATAGCAGTTTAATATATTCTGTATTCTCTCTGCAAGAAGAGATAAAGTTAAATTTTCTGACACCATTACATTGATTTTTGAAGTCTATAGCTTACTGATTTTTGTAAGCCTATGTTTTTTCAGTATTTATTTCTGAATAAGGGGAAATGATTTACACAAAAGGAACATTAAAATACAGTTGTTTGTTTTACAAGTAGCACTGTAGCACTCCATTGATTATCTGCTTGGTCTAGCGGGCACCAGTAACATCTCCATTGTGAGACTTGTTACTGTTTTTGACATATTCTTATTAAAGAAAAACCTGTTAAGCCTTCGTGTCTTGGAAGTTTTGTATTTAAGTTCTGTGATGCTGACTATAAAGAAATTAAAATGCTATTTCCTTTTTCAGAACTCTGGTTTTCAGAACTCTGGAAACTCAGTAAAAGGGAAAGTGTTCGTTCTCAGATTATTTTAGAGAACATTCATCCATAGAAGACTTTTGAGCTCTTGAAATATAGCTAGGTTTTCTTACTTTCTATAACAGGCCCACAATAATTTATATTGCTTGTTGTCAATAAATTTCTACAGAATTATTACAAAATTTCCTTAGAAGAAAATTAATGTAAATTATTTTATTTCATCATGGAGACATTAAGTCCTTGTTTGAGGGATTATTAAAATGTTGTTGCAGGTTAAGTCATCTGTGTTTCTCTTTCATTTATCAAGATTGGTTGCCTTCTAAGTTCCATTCCATTTAATCTGTTGTGTTACTACTGGATTATCAGTGTTAAAGAATTTGATTAAATTAAAGATTAAATTAAAGATTAATTTGATTAATTTAAAGATTCATGATGAAGGTGTGTGTGCTCCAGAAAGTCCAGAATTTTTAACTGGGTGGGACAACTGAAGTTAAATTTTTAACTGGATGGCGACTTTAGGGTGTGGATGTGACTTCTGGGCTTTGGGAAGTATATGGAGGTGGGGGAAAGTAACCCAACCTGACTCTGAGAAAAGCCTGGAGATTTCACTCAACAAGATTGAATTTTCAGCAGGTTAATTTCTGGGTGAGGCTTGGTCAGACAGTGAAGTTAGGCCAAAGATATGGTGGCAATTTTTCAGTGTGGGAGTGAGAGGCTGCCTGGGCTCTCTTTGACAGGCCCCTCATTTAATTACTTTTTTAATTTTGGGAAGAGGGTTGTGGGGAGGGGGTCAAATAAGAGCATATGTATGAGGCATGTGCTCTACCACTGGACTATATAACTGGGACTTCAGTGGCAAACAAACAACACTAGAAGCTATAGAGCAAACTTCAGAGAGAAAATGGGGCATCTGATTTTGTGCATGATAGAGTTAAGATGGCACAGCAGTGTATATATATTTCATAGTTTTTCAGTAAACTCTTGTGTATGTATGAGAATGGATGATGAGTGTATTGCTGTTGAGGAACATAAAATGTACAGACATCACATGTGTGAATGGGAGAGAAACATTATTAAAGTGTTGTGTTTTTAGCATGGTAAAGAGAGGAGAAAGGTAACAGTGGGTCAAGGACAGACTGACTGTGCAGTCTTCACTGCCAGTATTGTCCAGCCAGGATCCAGGTCAGGACAGGTAAACATAAGATCAGTCTTGATTCAGCAAATGCCATATGTGTAGATAGTACTTCTACAAAGGGCGAAGCACAGGGCAATCAGTTTTAGCTTTCTCAACCCCAGAGAATCCTTTTAAGTTAATTGGGGGAAAGGGGAGCACAAATTTTCAAAAAATTTGATCATTCAGTTATGATAAAAGCCCTAAATATTACCAAAACGTATTAGAAATGGCAGGATACAAAGTTAGTAAACATAAAACAGTATGAAAAAAATTAAGAAAGCATTCCTGTTTACAATTGCTTCAGAAAAAACAAAAATATGAGGCCAGAGTGATGGTACAGTGGGTAGGGCATTTGCCCTGCACACGATCAATCCATTTTTGATCCCTGGCATCCTGTATAGTCCACTGAGCTGGGGTGTGGGTGTGCACCCCCCAAAAACCCACAGTGAAACCAACTCCAAGACTTTGTGAAGCTATGGTGCTTGCAGGAAGGACAGAGCGGTGGGTATAAAGAATAGGTAGAAGGATTTTTCTTATATATTCTGCTACAGAAACTGATGGTGAGTGTGGGGACCCCTGTATACATCCTGGGTTGTTAATCAGCTATACCTCTATTACATCTCTAATGTGGGAAACCAATAATTTTAAAAGGGAAGGAATTCATAAATAATATATTTTGAATACAATTTATAAGAATTGGTATTCCATCAATATAAAATAAATGTACTTAATTAGGGTAAAAAAACAAGATATGTCTACTGTAACATCTAGATCAGTGACTAAATCTTATCAAAACATTGCTCTTTTTTATGTCTCCCATACTGGCAGTGATAATGCTGTTAATAATTTCAGTGTTTGGTTAACCATAGAAATAGTACAGGAGGTTCGACAGTCACTTTGAACGTGGCCAACTCTGGCAGCCCATAAGGTCCTCTGTGTCCCACCAGAAGTGATTCCTGAGTGCAGAGCCAGTAATAATCCCTGAGCACCAACAAGTGTGGCCTCAAAAACAAAACATAACAATAGTAATAATAATTTCAGTGTTTTTAAAACAACCACTATCTAATAATTTATTTTCCCTTTTTTTAGCTCAATTATTATGTTTGTATTGGAGAAATAAAATTTCTTAGAAAAATATAGCCAGACAAATTTGTGAGAGGTAGTAACATTATTTATTGAGCAGTATACTATTGAAACTCTAAAAATACTTAAATTGTATTTAGGAAAGTTATCAGTTTTGTTTTGTAATAAAATGTAAACCTTTCACATTTTTTTTATTTGTACCTATATATATATGCATGTATGCACATATATACATATACATATATACATATGCAAGAAAGTAGACCAGATGTACAGTGCTTTTTCTTCTACCAGATATTGCTAACAGGCTTTATATGATACCTCCATCTTGATATTTTTTCTCATTGTTCATCTGTTCATTCATTTAGGAGGTGATTTTCTTACCTTTCTGAGAAAGAAAAAGGATGAAATAAAACTCAAACAGTTGGTGAAATTTTCATTAGATGCTGCTTCTGGTATGGAATATCTTGAGAGTAAAAATTGCATACATCGGTAAGTAGAATATTTTTAAAGTACATATCAGCTTTATTAATAGACAACTGATATTTTTGCTATAATGTAGTAAATTTCATAAGTATTTTGTTTTGCTTTTTACTGGTTTAAAAAATACAGAATTTTGTGTGAAAGAATTCTCAGATATTATTTATGTAGCTGTTGTCTCACTTAAACTATGGTGCCTCAGATGGAATTGCATGACTGAATGTGAAGCACTTGAACAACTGGGCAGTAGTAATAGGTTTCTAGATGTACAATGACCAGAAATTCATTCATGGTCAAATATGTAATGAGTATTCAGTTTTTTTTTAATTTTATTTTATTTCTATAAAGTTGTTCACAATAATTCATTACATTTAATAATCAGACGTGAATCCCACCACCATATGTCGAATGTTTCCACCCCAAATCATGTTCTCCAAAGCTTGGTACATCAGTAGTGTAGAGTATGAGTTTTGCAGCCGTGCACTCCAGGAATTCTAAAATTTAGAATATGACTGTCCAGCGGATTCACTGATGGGTGAGGCCTATGTTGCTCTTTTCCAGGAGCTTTATTTCTGAGTATCTGGATCATGGCCATTGATGAGATTATATGGCGCCACAAGCGTTCCCTCTCCAAGCGAGCTTGGAGATCTGTCATGGGTCCCACATACCTGGGTTTTTCTGCAGCTTCCCTCGTGGGTGAGGCTAGGTGGGAGCTTATGGAGAGTGGCCGTGAGCATGGCAGCGGTTGGGTTCTGGAGGTTTTCCTCTGCCGTGGCTCTGCTGGGGTGGGGAGGGGAACTCCAAGTATTCTGTGTTTTTGACAAACTCACTCATATTTACTTTTTGTGGGCGAAAGAGGACCATGAATGGGAAAAATATGTAAAGTTCTCAGTTTTTTGTAATCCTCGCATTCTCTCTTAGCAGTGCTAGATACAACTACTAGACAAAGATTTAACCACTGATTAAAATTTATTATAATCAGGATTAATGACGTGATATAAAATGTACCACAAATAGTTAACAACTAGTCTTATAGAAAAATGAGGTTGTTCTTGGTGTTACCTAATCTCCTTTTCCAAGGAAATTGTATGTAAAGGCATAGGAAAACATAAAATAATTGATGACAATGATTTGGCCAAAACTTCAAACATTTGAAGAAGTTTTAGTGTACTAGATATTTCAAAGCAGATGTTAACAAATTATAAATATGTAAATGTAGAGAAACTAAGATTTGGACTGGCAAGTTGGTTTTAATGTTTAATGGTTATGGTTTTGCTACTTGAAGCTGAGAGTACTTTCCACTGCTGTCAGTAGAACTTCAGAATCCTCTGCAGAAGTTATGTGAATTTTAGCTAAATAACTACCTTATGTGTGTAAAATACAGTAGAAACTGAGGGAGTGTTAATTTAAGGGAGTAATGGATACAATGCACATTGTCTGTTTTACTATGAGGTAAAGTTCATCCTCAAGTTAAATTTATTGTGAACTTTAAACTTGCTTCGTTGTTGAACTAGGTGTATGTTTTTCTCTGATGTCTTACATTTTGAAGACTTTGTCTTAACATTCTGGTGAAATGGTATAATGTACAGTTACACTAGAACAAATTTACTTTGGCCTGAAATTTTATGACAATAAACAATTTATATTTAATTCTCTTCAATATCTGCTTTATTGGGTACTCAGCTTTATTCTGGAATTAAAATGATAGTTTATGTTTCAAATGTGATTTAGCAAATGCATATGTTTTAAAATACATTTCGTTGGGAAATCTTTATACAGCAGTTAACATAAAACAAAGCTACTAACATTACCTTTGTTTTGTATAAATATCAACTAACTCTATAGTAATTTTGGTGGGACTTACTTTTGACCATTTTCAGTGTCTCCTACTGGCTCTACTCAGTGGTCACTCGTGGCACTGCTCAGGGGGTCATGTGCAGTGCTGGGCATCAAATCAGGTTCGGTCCATAAGGCCAGAGCCTTTTTCTGCACTATCCCTCTGACCCCTAAAGTAGGTTTTGTGAAAAACTTAAAAGTCATTTGTAACTGAGCAGGTGCTTCAATGGCAGGAGCATATGTGTGGTATTGCGAGGCCTGGCATTTGAATGCCCTCCAGCATTCCCTCAATGCCATGCTGGTCCCAGAAACACCAGGCTATGGCAGCATCACATCAAGACCCAGACTTTGAGCCAGCTGGCCAGCTTGACCAAGTGTTGTCAGGGATGACCTCCAGGCCCCTAATAATTGCTGAAAAAATTGAATTTATTTATACAAAATATCATTTAACAAAAGCACATTTTTTGTTAAAAGTAACAGTAAAGGGTTTTGCCTTTTATTAAGAGATAATATATAATTTTATTAGGTGTTCAAGCTACTTGTTATCATATTTTTATTGTAATTATTTTCTCAGAATGGCCGGAGCGATAGCACAGTGGGTAGGGAGTTTGCCTTGCACACCTCCGACCCAGCCGGCTCAAGTTAGATTTCTCCGCCCCTCTCAAAGAGCCTGGCAAGCTAGCGAGAGTAACTCACCCACATGGCAAAGCTCCCTGTGATGTATTCGATATCCCAAACACAGTAACAACAAGTTTCACAGTGTTACTGGGCCAACTCAAGCAAATCGATGAACAGCTAGAGGACAGTGACAGTGATTTTCTCAGATTATTTTTAAATTATCAAACTGTAACTTTAAACATACTAAATACATATTATTGAAATTGGCATTATCAGTTATAAATTGTATTCTTTAATATCTGGTGTATTTTTGTGGTGGGGGACATCTTTTAATTTCTTGATTTATAGTAATTGAATATTCTTGCAAATTAATATTTTTTAATAGCTGTATCCTGGACATGGCCAACCCCTGTTTGATCCCTAGCACTGAGTGTGATACCCTGAGCCCCATAAGGTGTGGTCTCTGACAACAGAATCAGGACTGAGTTTGGAGTACGACTAGGTGTGTGTGTCACAAGACCCAAAAAGTGAAGAACTCTCATCAGCTAAATCAAACCATTCTAAATCCTAAATGACAATTAGCTTTGAAACGTTTTTCTCAGGCTGAAGAGATGTTCAGTGGGCAGGGTGTTTGTCTTGCTTGGGGCCGACCTAGGTTCTATCCCTGGCACCCTATATGGTCCCCTGAGCAGCTTAGGTGTGGCCCCAAACAAACAAAAATTTACTTTTTGAAATATTATTTTCCCTTTTTTCTTTTTTTTTGCATATTAAAAGATTTTGGAAGTCATCTCTTCCTGATCACATCTTTCACCATTTGCTGGTTGTCATTCTTTGCCCGATGAGGTCTCCTGATTGAAATGAACCTTTTTAGTAGTGTCACTGAGAACACATAGGACAAATAGGTTTTATCATCAGTTTGTAGAGCTGGAAGTAACTCCCTCTGTCATGTGCTTTAGAAACATGCCAGAATCATTGAGAAAGTTCAGCAATCAATAATTACATCTGCCAGGATGGTGACAAACATTAATACACAAGCCTCAAATTTGTTCTCTTCCGTGAATATTTTCGTTATGTCTTTATTTCCATAAATACTTTTCATTTTTTGGCATAGGCTTTCCTTAGTAATGAGTATAGCAGCAATATTATATTTTTATATTATATTGATTTCTCCTAAATTATCTGCTGTTCTGTTTTCTTTGTACATCATGGATACTGTGTGAATTTTGTGTCTGTCTCTAGCCAGTGTTCTTTTATTTCTTTGTAAACCTACACAGACATTCTTTGAATGAATTTATTTTCCTTTCCATTTTAGAACCCCACTAATACATGACATTATATTGAAAAACTAAGTTATCCTCTGTATTGAATTTTTTATAGATGTGAAATATTTCTATATTTCTTCCTTTGGAAATATTTCTGTGGTATCAGTCATAATTGCAATATAGAGTTAGTTGATTTACAGTTAAATATATAACAAAGACAGTTTATATGCTCTTATTTATAAACACGCAAATACATATTACTCATATTTTTCTCTCATTGAAAAGTTTTCTGATGAAATATTTCTAAAATAGTTAAAATATTCTAAACATGATAACATGATCAAAAGTTTCTTTTGGTTTTTCTTTTTTTCTTTTTTTTTGTGTTTATTTTAATTTTTATTAGTGAGACACCATGAGGTACAGTTGCAGACTTACAAATTTTGTGCTTGGGTTTCAATTATACAATGATCAAATACCCATCCCTCCACCAGTGCCCATTTCCCACCACCACAGATCCCAGTATCCCTCTCACCCCCCATCCCCCCTATCCCACCCTGCCTCTGTGGCAGGGCATTTCCTTTTGTTCTCTCTCTCCTTTTGGGTGTTGTGGTTTGCAAAAGAGGTATTGAGTGGCAATCATGTTTGGTTTTTCAAGTTATAAAGTTACCCATTTCCATTCTTCACATCCAATGTATATACAGATGCACATATATACATTTTATGACCTGCAAAGTTTGTATATTATAAATAAAAGTAAGAATTTTGAATATGTTTTCAGTATTACAGAAGTATGTCAGCCTTTTTTTAACTGATTATAGGTCGGTAAACTTTTTTACTGATTATAGATCACTGAAATGTTATAGTTGAAAATACTTATAATTGACCATCCTTAAAATAGTATCCTAACTTTTGAGAGACAGATTTCCTAACTATAGTTTTGTTTTACTGGTTTTGATTATTTTCAGATAGGATGAGTATTATACCATTAGAGAAAAAGTTTGACAGCTATAAAGTGAAATCTATTAAATAAAAGAGAGGGAGAAGTTGCATTAAAGAAATGGCCTTCTTTTGGAAATGTTCCTAAATTTCCTTTTAAGTTTCCTTTTTGCTTTCAGTTTTTAAATTGATTGCATTTCCTTTATAATTATTCTATAACCAATGTGAAATTTCTTTCTACTTAATATTCATATGTCAAGTACAATGATAAAGTTTAGAGTCTGTGTTTTTACTCTAAGAATAGTACTAAATTTGATTAATTTTTAAAAATTTAAAGAACTGATGTGGATCTAGAGCAGT